CAGAAAGGTCAGTTGTGTGTGTGCGTGTGTGTGTGTGCACGCACACGTGTGTGTGTGCGTGCGTGTGTGTGTGCACGTGTGCAGACGTGTGGTGTGTGTGCTTGTGCATGTGCATGTCCATGCGTGTGTGCGTGTGTGCGTGGTGTGTGTGCATGTGTGCACATGCGCATGTGCGTGTGTGCGTGTATGTGCGTGTCTGCGTGTGTGTGGTGTGTGTGTGATGTGGTGTGTGAGTGCATGTGAGCGTGTGTGTGTGCACGTGTGTGCGTGCATGTGTGCGTGTGTGCGTGTGTGGTGTGTGCATGCATGTGCGCGTGTGCGTGTGTGCGTGGGTAGTGTGTGCGTGTATTCTTGTGTGCATGTGTGCCTGTGTGGTGTGTGTGTGCAGAGTGTGCGTGTGTGGTGTGTGCGTGTGTGTTCGTGCGTGTGTGAGTGCCTGTGTGTGCGTGTGCACGTGCGCGTGTGTGGTGTGTGTGCATGTGTGTGTGTGTGCATGTGTGGTGTGTGTGCGTGTGTGTGGTGTATGTGCGTGTGTGCGTGCAGGTGTGTGGGTGTGTGTATGCATGGTAGCCAAAGCTTAGGCTCTGATAGATACAGGATTTGGCTGTAATCAGTCAGCCCATCTCAGCCAGGTCAAAGAGAGGGTGGAGAGAGGGTGGACAGGTACCAGGAGACTGTCCATCTTCCACCCACTTCTAATATCCTAGCGGGAGAGTAGGGGCCAAAGCCAATCCTCTGGCAAAAAGAAACATCCCTTTATCTCTGGGTCAAAACATTCAGCTTAAAGATTAATACATTCTGATCTGAGTGTGAGGTAGGAAAATTGATTCTATAACTAGGCAGGGTTTTGGCACCTTTCTGGTTGAAAGAGGTTCTGCCACCCGTCTTTTCCTGGCTTGTGATGGTCATTCACCCCTCACCCTGCCCAGTGCCCCACTCCAGCTGTTCTCGCAGAGAAAGGTCAGCAATGGCTGCGAATAATCAGCTCCGGGTGCAGGTCCCTGATTCCCTGCAGCATTGACTGATGCTCAGAGTCTGGGATGGCTCCAGGTAGAGCCGTGTGGGCCAGTGAACATCCAGCCTCCCTTCCTCATTCCAGTGTCCTCCTCCCTGCCCCTTTCCTCACAGGGCTCCGTGACTCAGGCATGCCTTTTCACAGCCCAACAGTTCTATGGAATGCTCTTGTCCTGAACTTGCCCCACTCTCTTGGGCTAAGACATCAGGCATCTCATTTGCTAAATGATTTCTGCAGGCTTTGCATTGGCACCTCAGGGATCCATGCTGTACCCTTGTGCATGCATGGTACTGAGGAATCACTTTTTCAGCCACCAGTTGGGAGTTCTGGGTAAAGATTTTCCCCAAAGTCATGCCTCTGAGGAGGGGGCTTCTGGAGTGAAGGTATTTGCCCCAAGTCTTAAAGTATTAGAAATTCTAGTGGGAAGGATTTTAGACTGGGGGCCAGAAAACAAGTTTCTATTTATCACCTACTGAGTGCCATGGGGGGCATGTTTTAACACTAAACTAGATGCTTTACATGTATTATCTGGCTTAATCCTCAGATTTAATACTTTAAGGTAGACATTATTAACAGTCTCCATAGATGAGGAAACTAAGGCTCAGCAGGATTAAATGACTGGCACATGCTCACAGCTTAGAAGTTGCAGAGCCAGCATTCAAGATTGGGTTCATTTGATTTCAAAGCCCATGATCTTCATCATGTTGAGTCAGTACTGCTTACATTATTGCCAACTCCATCTGCACAGAGGATCGGCTCATATTGAACAAGGTGATTAGAGAAGAGCCCAAACTTCAAGGAACTTGAAATCACAGATTTGAATCCTATAGCTTAGTGAATATGAAGAATGGATCTAGGATTCCAGGCACTTCAGGTATGCTGCATACCACCCACCCATCCATTCATCTCTTCATCTATCCATCCATCCATCCATCCATTCATGCATCCATCCATCCGTCCATCATCCATCCTTCCCCTTATCCATCCATCCAGCTATCCATCCATCCATCCATCCATCCATCTCTTCATCCATCCCTCCAACCAACCATCCATCCATCCATCCATCCCTTCATCCACCCCTCCAACCAACCATCCATCCATCCATCCATCCATCCCTTCATCCATCCAATGATACATCCATCATCCATCCATCCCTTCATTCAACCATCCAGCTATCCATTTATCCATCCACCCCTTTATCCATCCAACCATCCATCCATCCAGCTATCCATTCATCCATCCATCCCTTCATCCATCCATCTATTAATCCATCCATCCCTTCGCCCATCCCTCCAACCAACCATCCATCCATCCATCCCTTCATCCATCCATCCAACCATCCATCCATCTGTCCATCCATTCATCCATCCCTCCATTGATCCATCCATCCATACATTCATCTATCCATCCCATCATCCATCCCTCCAACCAAACACCCATCCATCCATCCATCCATCCATCCATCCATCCATCCATCCCTTCATCCATTCAATCATCCATCCATCAATCCATCTATCCTTCCCTTCATCCATCCCTTTATCTATCTCTCCACCCATCTAGTCCTTCATCCATCCATCCATCCATGTAGCCATCCATCCATTTGTCCATACAACACTGTTTTTCATTCATTCAAAAAGCACTGCTATAAATTACAAGCCCCCTATTATCCAGATCCAAATACCCTGCATGTAACCTTAAGCAGCCAAATAAGCCTGAAAGTGACTCCACCCATCTTGCTGCGAAGAAACCATTATAAAGGGAATCCCAGGCATATCCTCTGGGGCTCAGTGCAGCTGACGGTTAATGCCCTCCCAGGAGCGGCAGCTCACACCAGCCCCATGTCTCCTGTGGCAAGTCTCTACTCAACCCCTTTTCCTGCCCATACCTCTGCCACCTCCTGCAGTTCCTCCAGGTTCACTGAGTTGCTCAGAAGAGTCCTGGCCACAGTGTCCCTAGGGCCAAAGAAGGGGTGGTGAGGTCATCTCCTTTGCCCCAATTCAGGGGACCTGAAGAGCCAGGGTCTACTGTCACATCCCAAGGGGTCTTATTGTCATGGGAAAGAGGAGTGGAGATGGGGAAAGGGAGGCTATGTTTAAGTGGGCATCAGTCCCCTGCAGGGGGTGGGCCCAACACTGCATGAGGGGACCTGGATTGTCCTCCCAGAACTGCTGCCCACGCATCCTGTGGGCCTCACAGTCAGGATGCAGTGAGGCCTCCTCTGCCCAGGGCAGCTCTAAGAGGAGACTAGTCTTCAAGGAGCCATGGGTTCCTGGGGGAAGGGCCTTGGGAAGACAAAGTGGAATGTGTGTGCATCTGGCGTCAGGCCAGCCCAGGAGCCAGGGTCCCAGGCACTTCTCTGCCTATTGCTCTTCCTGGGCAACGTGTTGGCCAAGCTGTCCCTCCCGTCATCCATGGACCCATCCACCTGGGGAACTAGATCCTCCCACTCAGCCACACCCAGCCAGATGCCTTTGGGTTTCTGCAAAGACCAGGGTGCCCAGTAGAAATCTGATGACTGACTTCCACACCTTCCCCTGGCATCTCCAGAGAAAACCTCTCTTGATGCTGTTTAAACACTTCACAGTCCGCTACCTGCTAATTTGGATGGAAATTGCTTTTGACATGTGCAGTTGGTGGCCAGGAGCTTGGGGTGAGAGAACAGATAAAGCTGAACCAATTCTCATTAACAGTGAGCAAAGACCAGAGATGGGAAATTGGCAGAAATGGGGCATGGTGGCCACCTGGGGAGCGGGGTGAGGGCATCAGAATGAGTTTTACAAAAGCTAGCTTTTGTCTAAGATCCAGAGAAGCGAATGAGAGCTGGCCTGCAAAACACTTCCATAGGATCCAGGAACCAATCCACAGCAGGCACTGTCTTTGCTAGCTGTATGACCTCGGGTGTGTTACTCAGCCCCTCTGTTTCCTTGTTTGTAAAATGGAGATAACAGTTATAACTATTGCGGTAAGGATAAAATGAGGGAATATCAGGATAAAGTGTGAAAGAAAACAGCAGCCCCTTCCACTGGCTTCCAGGCCTGCTCAGCTGGGCGCCTAAGAAAAGCCAGTAACTCTTGGGTGCATTTTGATTTGCGGCCACTCAATGACTTTCTTTTTCTTTTTTATTTTCATTTTTATTTTATTTTTTGAGACAGAGTTTTGCTCTTGTTGCCCAGGCTAGGGTGCAGTGGTAAGATCTCGGCTCACTGCAACCACCATCTCCCAGGTTCAAGCGAGTCTCGTGCCTCAGGCTCCCAAGTAGCTAGGATTACAGGTGCCCGCCACCACACCCAGCTAATTTTTTTTGTATTTTTAGTAGAGTCTGGGTTTCACCATGTTGGCCAGACTGGCTTCAAACTTCTAACTGCAGGTGATCGCCCGCCTCGGCCTCCCAAAGTGCTGGGATTACAGGTGAGCCACTGCGCCCGGCCTCAGTGACGTTCATACTTTGCTGATCATTTTGCAGAAACTGAGTCAACCGGTTTGACATAAGCCCTGGATAGTGGACTAGGACTGGGGCCAAATCTTGAGGAAGGGGGTGGCTCTCATGTCATCCTTCACCCTCAGCTACCACTGGGCTCCCTTGGGCAGTGAACCCAGCTTTGAGGAGGAAATGAGAATGTCCATGCTGGACTCTGGCGAATCAGGACCTACGCATCCCTCTGTGCTTTGCTGCAAAGCCTCTTACCTGGGAGGGCGCAAGAATGATGGATGTGAATGGCCTTGGTCCTTCCCTTTCCCCAGCCTCATCCCCTCAGATGCTCCCCTTCTGCCTGGTGATTTTTTGAGGATTTTGTGGTGAAAAGAGGGAGGAGGAGAAGGGCAAGGAGCAACCAGGGTGTGTATGTGAGGCCCAAGAGAAAGCAGAGTGAGTTTTAAGGAGCAGTCACTGGGAATTAGGTTTCCCTTCACAGAATTCAAGAAATATAAATAAAAACAAAGTGCGTCCCCTAGAAATTGCTTTTGGGCTGTTTTTATTTATTTACTAGAGACAGGGTCTCATTCTGTCGCCCAGGCTGGAGTGTAGTGGTGTGATCTCATCTCTTTGCACTCACTCTCCTGGGCTCAAGTGATCCTCCCACCTCAGCCTCCCAAGTAGCTGGGACTACACTGGGACTACAGGCATGCGCCATCACACCTGGCTAATTTTTAAATTGTTTTTTTGTAGAGACGGGGTTTTGCCATATTGGCCAGGCTGATCTCGAACTCCTGGGCTCAAGTGATCTGCTCACCTTGGCCTCCCAAAGTCCTGGGATTACATGCATGAGCCACCACGCCCAGCCTTGGGCTGTTTGCTTTTGGTCTCAGTGCTGCTCTGAGCCTGGACTACCTGGGGTCAAACTCCTAGAAGTCAGTCAAACAGTGCTTGCTTGGCTACTTGCCTTCATCAGAACCCCTGCACAAGGCAGGGTGTGCTTGGTTGGGAGGAAACGTATACAGAGTCAAGAGGAAATTTGTGTAGTCGAGAGGAAACTTAGATGACCCATGTGGTCTAATCCCTGGTGATGCTGAAGCTTCTAAGACAGCACCGAGTGTGGGCTCTGGAAAAGGCCTTGTCTTACAAGCAAAACCGTCACAAACATTTATTGGGCACTAACAGTATACACTCTTCTAAGTCCCTCACGTGCATGGCTATCCTAAGCATTCCCATTTTCCAGGTAAGCAAACTGAGGTAGCCAGAGGCAAAGAGACCTGCCCCAGGTCACATAGACAATAGTGGTGGAGCCCCAGTGCTTAGCCATGATGCTCCAGGGGCCAGAGACACACGGCCCCCAGTGCAAATGCGCTCACGCAGGAGAAAGAAATCACAGCTGAGTGTGTGCACCGCTGCACCGGCACAGGAGTGTCTCGCACATCCCCTACGAATGAGCAGCCAGCCTCTGCAAGCACCCCAGCAGCCTGCTCCAGGGAGGCCCAGCCTGGCAGAGAGGAAGCCCCGCCTAATATTCAAAGCTCAAGGTGATTGCCCTCCAAAGGTGGCTCCTGACACAGGCATCCTCTGAAGTGTCCTCTGGTCGGCCACACGTGTAACATGTGCTATCTCGGTTCCTCTTCGACGAGCTGAGGATTACTCTCTGTATTGGGGGTGATTCTTTTTTACAGAGATGTCCAGAGAAGCTAAGCAACCAAATGTGCATTCCACACCCAGTGGGTGGTGGAGCCAGGCTTTGAACCCAGGGCCGAGTCTCAGACCTGTGCTCTTAACCAGTTCCCCAAATGGTCTCTTCTGAAGTGTAAGAAATGCTTTTCAATGACTTTCAATGGCAGGGGTTCCAGGTCCACAAGCACCGGACTCCTATCCTGACCCCTCCCTGCACCTGGTAACCTGGACAGCCCTATCCCCTGTGCAGCTCTGGCTCAGATCTTCAGTGGAGACGGCACCCCTTCCCTGCACCCCATCCCTGCCCATCCCTTCCCACAGGGTGGCTGTGAGGATCCTAAGAAGTGAAGGTGGGAGGGCACTGTGCAACTGTCAGAGCACCGACATGCAGGAGGGCCCCTTCCTCATCGTGACTGCCAGCCGGAGAAGGCAGTGATGCACCTGGAGGGCACCTGTCACATCTCTGCCAAAGGGGGCCAGATGGACTGGGTGTGAGGCCCCCACAGAGCTGGGCCAGCACTGCAGGGAAAGCAGGTGGACTCACCTGGTGGCCAGGGTGCCAGGCCTGATTCCCGTGTTTTGCATTCCGGATCCAACGACGCCAGCTGCCGTCATGTCTAACACCATGCCCAGGCTGGGCTCAGCAAGAAGAAGCAAAAAGGACACAAGAGACCAGTTAGGCTTTCCAGGACAGCAGGCACACTCCCAGGCCCATCAGATTGAGGTGTGAGGCCCCTTAGGGCAGAGAAGTTTATTCGGCGCCTGTCTGGGTTCTCATCCCAGATCTGCCACAACTTAGCTTGTGTGACGTGGCCTGCCCGTCTTCTCTCAGGGTCTCAGTTTCTTCATCTAAGTGGCTTGTTAGATGAGCCAGTGGCGACATGGTTCAGGGCTGAGGGGAGGCTTGCCTGCCTGGCTTTGGGGATCTCTACAGCCCACAACACCCCTTTCTTCCTTTCCTCCAACCTCCATCTGCCAACAATAAATTCACTCTCCACCAACCAAAGGCCAAAATGCTCCTGCTGAGACTTCGCTTAGGTACCCAGCCTACCAAGGCCTGCAACATCCTCATGGAACCAACCTGGTTCAAATCCCACAAATAAATAACATGGAAAGGTTTGGGGAGGTGAGAAAGGAGGAGGAGGAGGTCCTGTCACCTCTCCTGCTCAGAAATCTTCAGGGGCTCCAGGAGAAAGGCCTCATCCCTCAGCCTGGCGTTCCAGGCCCTAGAAGGAATAACGCGAGGCTTCCATGTGCACAGGACGACAAGATCATGAAAGGATCACGGTACCCCTTGGGAGGCGTGCACCATGGGGACGGGAATTAGAAAGAGCTGCCAATCTTAAGGTCAAGGATGAAGAGCGGATCCGGAGTTTAAAAAATCTTACTTCCCAGGAACTTTCTGAGTCGCCTCAGCCCTAACTTAAAGGAGAAGGAAACAGGTATTTTCTGAAGACCTCCAAGGGCTCAGGCGCCTGGAGCTTCACAAGCTGTGAGACAGCTTCCCGAGAGCCCAGCTGTCCTCAGCTCACACACAGTGCTCTACAGGTAAAAGATGGGAGGGCAGGGATGTGGCAAGTTCCTCCAGTGCAGACCGAGGCCCCTTGAGGGAGGCTGGAGGACACCAGAGGCTCCACATCTCCCACTTTCAACCCAACATGACAGTGATTAGGGAATATCACCTCATGCCTTCCCAGAGAGAGAAGATGAGACCTGGGGCTGCCCTGGCTGAATGAGGAGAGGGTGAAAGACACACAAGCCTCTTCTAGCCTTCCCTCACCCACCCGCTCACCCTCCTCGCTACTCTCATCTCTTTGTCCATATTGGTGGGGTTAGTGGGTGATAATGCCTCTTCTGAAAATGGCAGAATGTGAAAAGAAGATCTCAGATATTTCTGAAAAGAAGACACACACGGCCAGCAAATATACAAAAAATGCTCAACATCACTAATTATCAGAGAAATGCAAATCAAAACCACAGTGAGATATCATTTCACCTCAGTCGGAATGGCTGTTACTTAAAAGTCCTGGCTGGGCGCAGTGGCTCACACCTGTAATTTCAGCACTTTGGGAGGCCGAGGCAGGCGGATCAGGGGGTCAGGAGTCTGAGACTAGCCTGGCCAACATGGCAAAAACCTGTCTACACTAAAAATAAAAAAATTAGCCAGGTGTGGTGGTGCACATATGTAGTCCCAACTACTCAGGAGGCTGAGGCAAGAGAATCGCTTGAACCCAGGAGGAGGAGGTTGCAGTGAGCCAAGATCACACCAGTGCACTCCAGCCTGGGTGACAGAGCAAGACTGTCTCAAAAAAATAAATAAATAAATAAGAATAAAATAAAAATAAAAAGTCCCAAACAGCAGATGTTGACAATGATGCAGAGAAAAGAGAATGCTTATGCAATGCTGGTAGGAACGTAAATTAGTATAACCTCTATGGAACACACTATGGAGAGTTCGCCAAGAACTAAAAATAGAACTACCATTCCACCCAGCAATCCCACTACTGGGTATTAGCTAAGGGTAAAGAAGTCAGTATATTAAAAAGACACCTGCACTTGTATACTTGTTGCAGCACAATTCACAATTGCAAAGTCATGGAACCAAGCTAAGTGTCTATCAATGGTTGATTGGATAAAATCAATGTGGTACATATACACCACGGAATACTATGCAGCTATAAAAAAGAATAAAATCATGTCCTTTGCAGCAACATGGATACAGCTGGAGGCCACTATCCTAAGTGAACTAACTCAGAAGCAGAAAAATCAAACACTGCATATTCTTGCTTATAAGTAGAAGCTAAACAGTGGGTACACATGGACATAAGGATGAAGATAATAGACACCTGGAACTCCAAAAATGGGGAAGGATGGGGAAGGGGGAGAGCCGAAAAATGATCTACTGGGTCCAATGTTCAGTATTTGGGTGATGGGTACACGAGAAGCCCAATCCCCACCGTTACACAATATACTTATGTGACAAAACAAGCACATGTGCTCCTGAATCCAAAATTTTTAAAAATGATTAAATAGAAGAGGATCCTAGAAATTCTGCCCTAGGAAACTACTCCAGTACATGGCAGGCACACATGTGAGGATGTCCCTCACAGCATTGTTTATAACAGTGAAGAATGAGAGTGACCCAAATGCCAGCGAAGGGACAGCAGGAGCTTCTCTTCTCCATGAAGTGTATGAAGACTAAAAAGGAAGAGGGAAGAGGCTTAGGACCCTGTTAAAAGACAGAGATAAAAGCAAGGCTTTCAGCAAAAAGGGGTCAATTGGAAGGAAAATTGGACTTCGGTCCCTGAGAGGGTGGAGATAATAGTGGGAGGAGAAAGTCCATGTCCGGAGTCCCCGGATTGAGGCCTTGACAGAACCAGAATGAAGGAGGCTGACGTTTACCGAACCATACTACGAGGGGCATCTCTAACTCAACCAGCCCTCCGAATACCCCTATTTTAGAGACTTGTTTTCTAAGGCAGGACTCTGTGGCCCCGACGCACAAGGCACTTGCCTAACAGCTGGTGCAAGGTAAAGGCAGGCTCGCGCCCAGGCAGACTGCTCCCAGAGCTGGGCTTCACCATCACGCTGCCCTGCCCCACCTGGCACCAAACATACGGGGTCTCAGAGCCTTCCAGCTGCATGACTTTGTCAGAGGCATGTGAACCAGAACGACTCCATTTTGAATAGGAGCTGGGTAAAATGAGGCTGAAACCTACTGGGTTGCCTTCCCAGGCAGTTAAGGCATTCTAAATCACAGAATGAGATGGGAGGTTGGCACAAGATACAGGCCATAAAACCTTGTTGATAAAAGAGGTTGCAGTAAAGAAGCCAGCTAAATCCCACCAAAACCAAGATGGCCACGAGAGTGACCTTTGGTTGTCCTCACTGCTACATCCCACCAGTGTCATAACAGTTACAAATGCCATGACAATGTCAGGAAATTACCCTATATGGTCTAAAAAGGGGAGGCATAAATAATCCACCCCTTGTTTAGCATATCATCAAGAAATAACCATAAACATAGGCAACCAGCAGCCCTCGGGGCTGCTCCGTCTGTGGAGTACCCATTCTTTTATTGCTTTATTTTATTATTTTCCTAATAAACTTGCTTTTGCTTTATTCTATGGACTCACCCTGAATTCTTTCTTGTGCGAGATCCAAGAACCCTCTCTTGGGTTCTGGATCGGGACCCCTTTCCTATAACATCTTTGGGTAAGACTCTGGCTTCTGTGTCTGTAAGTGAGACTCTCTTCCTTTCCCTACAAGGCTGGTGTGACAGTGAAACCAAAGAGGGCATCCAGACTCCACATGCAGCCTTCCTCTTCCTGAAAGTGCCCCAGCATCCTTGGAACTCCAGTCCCAGGCAGCCCCCTAGGACATACAGAATGGGACATCCAAGCTGCCTTTGGAGAAGCAGATGGGCCTCATCCCAGGAGCCACTCGAGGAGGACGGGGCCCCTAGGGGAGGACAGGGACACATCATAGACGGGCAAGGATGCTTCAGGGCCCAGAAGCTGATGTCTGTAATTAAGAAGAACACATTTCCTCCTGTTAGTCATTGGTCACGGGCTGTTTCCACTGTCTGCTTCCAGGCTCCGCACACCTCACACTCTGTCCCTTTCCTGGGCTTTGCTACTGTGGCTCCCTCTGCCTGGGATTCCTCCCTCCTCTCCTCTTGCTGGTTAATACCTAATCATCTTTTGGGGCTCAACCCGAGGGTCCCCCCGAAGGGATCCGGTTCCTATGCTCACCATCTCACACATTCCCCTGCCTGTCAAAGCTGAACTTGGGCCCCAGGCTGCCCTGAATGCTCCACTGACATCGAACCTATTGCTCTGTGTGATGCCTGCCAGTTCCTCGTCTATGTGGCCCCTTGCTGGGAGCTCCTCGCTTGTGGGGTCTGGGATTTGTTCATCTTTGCCTCTCCAAGGCCTGAACAGGGCCTGCACATGGCAGATATTCTATAAATGTTTGCATTGCCAAGGCCCTTAGAGAGGCCAGAACAGAGGGTTTCCAGAGTGCAGAGGAATCATGATGCCCCAGGGCCTGTGATAAGAAAGCTAAGGTGTGCAGACCACCCCCACGTGGAAACCAACCACAGGTTTCCATGGCTATGATTTCCAGCTGCAAAGACAATGCTTACACCACTGTTCCAAACACCTGTCACCTGTTTCTAATGGTAGAAATTCCACAGTTAGAGATTCACTTCTTTGGCTGTGTTTGGCTCCTATTTCAAAGGAAATCCCCTGATATTAAACCTGAGCCATCACTGATACCATGTTTGGATGGAGGGACAAGTGAAGCCATGGATAGGCATGCCAGGAAACCCTGTGGCTTAGTCATCAGGGTCTTCTGTTCCTTTGAGGGTTTATTTGCATTTTCTTGTGTTTGGATCCTTGGAGTTGTTTGTTGCAAGTTTTCAGAATGACTTAATCCAGGGTTGTCTCATCTCTGAGACTGTTATTTAATGCTCATCTAATTTCTGGCCCATTTCTTTCTATTCCCAACACAACAGCCCCTGAACCCATAGGGGATGGGAAGACAGGCACCCCAAGGGGGAAGAACAGGAGCCTAGAGAAAGGGGTGCACATTGGGAGGCGCTCCTCTTTGGCTCCTGCCAGATCCTTGAGTGTCCAGCCAGGCCAGGGTGGGGGATGGGCAGGCGGCCTTGGCCCACCCAGCAATGGGAGCACGGGCTCTTACCTGGACAGGGCCAGGCCATGCTCATCCAGCTGTGGGTGCAGGTTGGCCAGGAGGATGCCAGCCTCCATGGTCACCTGCTTCTCCTCATCCACCTGTAAGAGACCAGTGTAGGCCCGGAGGAGCCAGGTGGTTGCCCAGCCCTCACTCCTGCCGCCAGGCTTCTTGGGAGCATAAGTGGGTCTGTCCCAGCCTGGGGTCAGCTTGAGCCACGTCCTCTGCAGGAGTCTGAGAATGCTGGAGCTTTAGGAATATTCTGGGTAATGCCTTCTGTTCGAAGGTGAAGATGAGGCACAGGGTGGAGGACAGATTGGCCCAAGTTCACTGGGCTGAGCTGGGTCTAGCATTCCTCCACCCCTGTGCTCCCACCACCACTCAGACTGGGAAGCCAGGATTGCTTCTGTAGTTGCACAGTCACCAACCAAAGAGGGCGTACTCCTTGGAGGGTCTTGACTTTGCTAGATGGACTTCAAATTCTCCACTTATTCTCACCCTGGGAGGTGCGAGGACCTAGGCAAAGACTAAGAGCTGGAAGGGAGAGGAGGAGACGTAACGTCTGTTTGGTGCCTACCATGTGGACTAGGGTACTATGTCATGAGATCCCCATGGCAGCCCTGGGCTGTGGGAATGGTCTCTTCACTTTACAGGGAGGGGACTGAGCTCTGGGACTTGAAGTCATTTGCCCAAGGTCACACAAACATCAGTGGTGGAACTGAGATAAGAAGGCACATCTGTCTTACTCCAAAGCACCAGTGCATTCCACGGACCCGGGTCACAGAGCTTAGTGAAATCGATTGCTGGAGCCCAATCCTCACTAATGAGCAATCAGAGTTCATTACCACCATGGACGTTTTCTACAAGTTAGAGACCATCAGCCTGAGCAAATAAGGAAATAGCAGAGAGAATCCCAGAGCCTTGCTGGCAGGCATAGGAGAAGGGGAGATTATCTGGCAAAAATTACAGCTGAGGGGAGCTGGCCCCAGCAGGTGAGAACGGGAGCCCTAACATGCAGCACACCTGCCCGGCACGCTGACTCGCTGGCAGGCACCTGGGGGCACTCACCAGGTACTGGTTCAATTGCATGGACAGTAACTGAGCACAGAGCTGGCATCAGTCCTGAGTCTGTGCCCAGCCCTACTGCCGATTGGCTCTGTGACCCCAGGCAAATCGCTCACCCTCTCTGATCCTTAGTTCCGCATCTGTAAAGCCAGCTAAATGCCACTTTGTGCCTTTCTGCATCTGTCAATGTGAGTCTGTTTTTTGGGCCTTGCTCACTGCTCTTGCTCCTGAGAAGCGGGGAGGGGTCTCTGGCAGGAGAGGCAGGTGAGCAGCATTGAGACAGGCTCCACTTAGGCAGGATGAAGGCCATAAACAAACAGTTGCTCAGGCCTGCTCCCCGCCCCGGGCTCCCTCTCTAGGGAAGGTGGGAGGGCAGGGTTTAGCTCTCTGAACTCTGACCCCAACCCTAGGGATTCTGGAGCCAAAGGACACCCCCAGCCTCTAACTAGGTGCTTAACACCACAGATCATGGGAGGCTGTGATGTTGGGGCTGCTGGGGGGTCTTGATGTGGGGCTGCTAAGGCACCCTGGGCTGGAGGAGGGCGCAGGCCTGTGCAGCTGAAACCTGGTCCCTGTATGTGTTCATTCCCTTGCCAGACCCGGGGGGTGACCAAGGCCAGCACCCCCCACTGTTAGGGAGACAGGACAGGATATTGGTGGCTGTAGCACAGAGGGTAGGGCCCTCGTCCAACATGACTGGTCTCCTCATAAGAGCAGCTTAGGACACACACACACGGAGGAAGACCATGAGAAATAGACTCAGGGAGAAGGTGGCTGCCTACAAACCAAGGAGAGAGGCCTCAGAAGGAACCAGCCCTGCCGACGCCTTGATCCCAGCCTTCCAGCCTCCAGAACTGTGAGAACACAAATGTCTCTGTTTGTTACCTGATCTGGGGGACTTTGTTATGGCAGCCGTAGCAGATCGTGTCTGCATGCCGGAGAGCCTGGGGTCAGGGCCTCAGGAGAGAAAAGGGCAAGGCCAGGGCTCTTCCCTTTGCATATGCGCACTTGGGGCTGTCCCTGAGGGAGGGGCAGGGCTTGCGGGGCCCCAGAACTGCCAGCTCCATGGCCCAGGGGTAGACCGCAGACTCCCCGCTGGAAAAGGCAGGACTTCGGGTGCGGAGACCTTGGGGCTGAGACTGGAGAGAGCAGTTGTTAGGTTGGCAGCTGTCCCTTCTCCACACTCACTGTTCCAAAGTTCTGCAAGGGGCCCAGGGGCTGTGGCCAACACAAGGACGGAGGACACAAGTCCTGGGGACAGAGAGGCGCCTGGCAAGGGGGGAGGGCATGCTAGAGGTGTAGCCTGGTATCACCCCAAACCAAGAACTTGCTTCTGCAGACCCTAAAGGAAAGAAGCTGCAGCGAAATTAACCTGAGTAGAGGGTTTATTTGGGCCAAGCTTGCAGATTGCAACCTGGGAGCATAGATTCAAGTTGCCCTGAATAGACGCTCTGATTAGCAGCAGTTACACGTGGACTTTTAAAGGCAAAAAAGGCGGACAGGGAGTGAACTGATACAAAATTGTTTGTCAGCATTTCTCATTGCTTTACAGAAATAACATGGATGAGTTCGCTAACAGCTAGGCACTGTTAAGCTATAGGATATGGGTCCAAGTGTCCAGGGTGGCACTGTTAGGTTAATTTATAGGTACCTGTGGCAGAAGCAAGCAGCTTCGAGAGATGGAGACAGAGCTCAAAGCCGGGAGGAGGGTATGATTGCTGTATCGTTTTAATGTGTCTTTGGGCCTGGTCATTAAAAGGATTGTGTTCCTCAGATAAAAGTTCTTTTCTTTTCTAACTCCCTTCTTCCTTCTCAAACCCTGTCCTCATAATTTCAAGGCAAGTACATCCTCCTCTCCATCCACAAATTCTGCTTTCAGCAGTCCAAGCTCTCCTCTTTTTGTGACTACATTTTGAGCCTAGTGCTTGCGGGTGTGGGTGGGCCTGGTCTATTCCACAGCCCTGGGACCCTTGTGGACTCCCTGCCCTCCTCCCCTGAAACTTCCAGAGCCTGGATCCACGCAGGAGGTTTCCTTTCTTCCCCCGGCATTACTGCCCTTGGATAGAACGCTTCTACCCCCACCCTAAGCCAAGCACATCAATTTTATAAACTGCCTTTATTGAAAAAAATAAAATTACATGAGAATATGAAACTCAGCAAAAATAGCGTGAATCAGTTCATTGGATCTGTGTTGCCACCCTCCCATGATTGTGGTCGAGGGGTTATTTATTTCTCGTCTAAAGGACTCAGCCTGTTCTGGGCTTGCTGAGTCTTAACTTTTACAAACATTTCTTGGCAAGGAAAATGAATGTTACTGCCTTAGTGGTCACCGAAGGGCTTGTTTTTAGATCTTTTCCCCTGCCAGACTTGTTAATCATTGAGAATGCCTCCTTAATACACCATTTGTACCTGGGAACGTAACACATTTCTGTGAACACCCGTGTCCTTACTGTGGACATCATGAAGGGTGTTTAACCATTTCTGGTCTGCAGGTCTCCCTTCCCTGCCTCATTCCACCAGCATGTTCTCTTTAAAATACAACGTAGGGCATAACATTCCTTCAGCACATGAGACAAAGTAGACGAGGCTGCCTAAAGTACTTCGGACTTCTTTTTCCATCTGAGTCCAAGATAATTGATAAAGATGATAAATACATATTTATCCTTTAATACATTCAAATGAAAATGAATATCACTGCTTGGGGCTTTCTCAGGAATTCTTTTACTTTGAGTTGCATAAATAAAAAGTTGTTTCTGTTGGGCTGGGCGTGGTGGCTCACGCCTGTAATCCCAACACTTTGGGAGGCCGAGGCGGGTACATCACCTGAGGTCAGGAGTTCGAGACCAGCCTGGCTAATATGGTGAAATCCTGTCTCTACTAAAAATAAAAAAATTAGCTGGGCATGGTGGTGGACACCTGTAATCCCAGCTACTCGGGAGGCTGAGGCAGGAGAATTGCTCGGGAGGTGAAGGTTGCAGTGAGCCGAGATCATGCCACTGCACTCCAGCCTGGGCAACCGAGTGAGACTCCATCTCAAAAAAAAAAGAAAAAAAAAATTGTTTCTGTCTTTGAAACTCTGACATAAGCCCAAGTTACATTGGAAGGGCCTTAGAGCATGGGCTATTGGACCTTCTCCTGCCAAGGGGTAGATAAACACAATGTGGTCTATACATACAATGTAATATTACTTGGCCTTAAAAAGAAAGAAAATTCCCACACATGCACATGTGACAACGTGAATGAACCTTGAGGACATCAGGCTATTTATTTATAGAGATAGAATTTCCCTCTTGTCACCCAGGCTGGAGTGCAATGGCATGATCTTGGTTGACTGCAACTTCTGCCTTTGGGTTCAAGTGATTCTCCTGCCTCAGCCTCCCGAGTAGCAGGGATTACAGGCACCCACCACCACACCTAGCTAATTTTTGTATTTTTAGTAGAGATGGGGTTTTGCCATATTAGCTGGGCTAGTCTCAAACCCCTGACCTCAGGTGATCTGCCCACCTCGGCCTCCCAAAGTGCTGGGATTACAGGTGTGAGCCACCATGGCTGACCAAATTTTAATTATTTTAACTTGAAACTAATGCATTTGTCCATTCATCCATTTATGCATTTACTCTCCAATTTATTCAGCAAACATCTAATGAGCATTTTCAATATGCCAGGCCAGTGCTGAGTTGGGTTCAAAGACGAATTACTTAAGACAGGCAGCCTCCGATCTCAGGGCCCTCACAGTCTAACAGGGAGACAGACAGTTACACATTTGGGTGCAGGAGTTGATACTCCACAATTTCTCAGGCAAGAAAGTATTTTATCATTTGTGGCCAGATGGATTCCTCTGAACAGTGAGGCATAGTATTTGTCACCCAATTCCTGTTGGAAAAAACCCTTTGAGCCTCTGACCTAGATATTTTAACCATTGTTTGCTTTTAATTTGTGTTGATGGTAATGTGGCTGTGAACGATATGGAAACTGGCGGACAGTCATGTCGAGGCCTAAAACCATGGATTCCCTACACCCCAAGAGAGACGGAAATAGCTTTTTGTCCTGCCTAGTCTAATAGACTCACTTTTTAGAAAACGGGTCTCCTGGAAACCTTAGATGTTGCTAATTGACAGCCACTAAGTGGTCCTTCCTTGACAGACTATATGAGTGATCTCAGCCTCCTGGGAGCAGCACAACCCACTGATGGAGGGTGTGAGAGAGAATATGAAGACTGTTGGACCTCTTTTTAAAGCACCGATTTCTTTTAGCAGAGGTGAATATACTTGTAATCTATTCCCTTTGTAATCATGACATAAAAATAACATGTTTTTTTACTATTCAGCCACAAAAAAAGAATGAAATCTTGTCTCTCGCAGCAACATGGATGGAAATGGAGAGCATTCTGTTAAGTGAAATAAGCCAGGAACAGAAAGTGAAACACCACATGTTCTCACTCATATGCAGAAGCTAAAAAAAAGTTCATTTCCTAGAAGTAAAAAGTGGAGCAGAGGACAGGAGGCTGGGAAGGGCTGGGGGAAGAGGTGGGGGATAGGGAGGGATTTGTTAAGGAATGTCAATTCCAGCTCGGTGGGAGGAGTAAATCCTAGCGTTGTGTAGCACTGAGCAATGACTACAGTCAACAATGATACATCGTTTCAAATAGCCAGAAGGAGGTTATTAAATGTCCTCAACACAAAGATGATAAACGTTTGAGATGACAGGTGTAATTACCCTGATCTGATTGCTACATATTATGTGTATCAAAACATCACTATGTACTCCATGAATATGTGCAACTAGTATGTTAATTAAAAATTTAAATTCAATCCCAAAATATAGCATTTTATAATTAAATCATTTTGAACACACTCCTTGCCATTTGTACTTAAAATGGCATCTGAAAATCTTCCCTGCTTGTTCCAGGGAATGCCCCCCCGATACCACCACTGCAGCAGGTGACATGTGGCCCAAAGGTCCTCAAAGCAGACCAGGAAACATAGCCCTGGACATTCCAGTATCTTCTTGAAAAACCTAAAGACCTCCTCTTCCAGTCCAGTGTCCTTTATGGCCCTTGATATGGTTTGGATTTGTGTCCCCACCCAAATTGTAATCCACGATGTTGGAAGAGGGGCCTGGTGGGCGGTGACTGGATGGTGGGGGCGGATTTCCCCCTTGCTGTTCTCACGATGGTGAGTTCCCACGAGATCTGGCTGTTTATAAAAGTGTGTAGCACCTTCCCCTTCTCTCTCTTCCTCCTGTTCTAGACACGTAGGATGTGCCTGCTTCCCCTTCACCGTCTGCCATGATTGTGTTTCCTGGAGCCTCCCCAGCCATGCTTTCTGTAAAGCCTGCAGAACCGTGAGCCAATTAAATCTCCTTTCTTTATAAAGTAGCCAGTCTCTGGTAGTTCGTTATGGCAATGGGAGAACAGACTGATACAGCCCTCAATGTGGTATAACTAGTTATATTTTTGTGACAATGCTATGAACTGGAGTTATTCAACTCTTATCTGCTAAAGGAGCAGAATTTCTGAGGCCTTTCTGATGGCTGATGGAGATGACTGGATAGAACATTAAAAGCGAGACTTTTGGGAAGACAGGTTTGCTGTTTGTGTTCCTTCTAGTAAAGGACACTCTTAGGTTTTGATTATTTCCTTTCCCCCAACTGCTCCCTTACAAATGAGCTTGAATACACCCAGTTAGGAAAATCATGTGATCTGGTGTAAGCCTTTCCCCTAGGCCCCATGCTTGCCTTTAAATTCTCAGATGCAAAAGACTGAGATGGTGGTGGCGTGGCTCGAAATGGAATGCCCTTATAGGTCTTGTCCTAAGACAAGCTGGAAATCTTACAGCTGATACTTCTATAGCACTTCCTCCATGCCAAGCACTGTTCTAGAACTCTGTGTATATTAACATACTCGATACAACCACCCATGAATTAGGTCCTATTAACATTCCCTTTTTTATAGATGAGGGAACCGGGGCACAGACCTCCTTTTTCAAGGTCACACAGTGAGTATGCAGCAGACCAGAGACCTAACCTAGGTGGTCTGCCTCCAGATTTAGAAAGGATAACTTTTTTTTCGTAAAGAAAGCTCAGCCTTAGGAGCCAGAGAGCCTGCTTCTGAATCCAGGCTCTGCCTCCATGTAGCCAAGTAGTCCTGGGCAAGTTATCTGAACCTCAGTTTCCCTTTCTGTTAAATGGGAAGGACTCTCTGGAAGGATGAGAGGTGGTGCATGAAAGACTCCAGGTGCACTAGGGCAGTGAAGAAATGCCAGCAGTCTCCATTTCAAACCTCCCCTGGCTTTCTCCCCATACACAGACACTCAGGCCCTTGTGGCCTGGCCAACTCATGCCCGTCAGCATGCCGAACTCAGCTTGGAGGGGCCGCTTCTTCAGCAAGCTTCCCCTCGCAAGTGCAGCGAGGCCATTGTGTGTGCATCTGTGAGCTTGATAACCATGCAAGGCGGGCAGGGAGAAAGGGCTCGGGACCCAGCTTATGGGCTTGGAGGAGGTGGCAGGAGGAACATTCCAGGCAAAGAATGAGTAAGTCGGGCAGAGGGTTAAGGAGGACCAGCACCTGCGAGTGTGCTGCTGGAGGGCAGTTAGGAATTGGAAGGTGATGGGGCCGGGCTTGGGGTGGGCAGGGGCAGTGGGGGAGGCCCTGCAAGGTTCAGGATCCAACCACGTGGGCGGCAAGACCCATGAAGAGGCTACTGCTCCAGGACTCTGGGGCCAGAAGCAGGGCAGGGGAGAGACCACTGCGGGAGACACATCAGTGAGACAGGCACCTAACGGGATGTGACAGGAGGGAGGAGAGGGCAGAGGGGAAGACGGGCTGGATCTGCCTGAGCCTCGTGACAGCTGCTGCTATTTAACTTTAAACTGATTAAAATTCAATGGAATTTAAAATTCGCTTCCTCAGCCTCACTAGCACATTTCAAATGCTCAAGGTGCGCATTTGTGCCTGAGCAAAATCTGCTAGGGAAGCTGGGAGAAAGGCAGGTGGCTACCTGTGGCCAGTGGCTGCTTTAGGGGACAGAGCACAAGAGACACTGCCACCCCCGTAGAAGTGTCTCCTGGCCAGCAAGGCCTAGATCACGCAGCACCTCGGAGCCCAGAACAGGGCTCAAAAGCAGAGAGAAAGGGCTCATCCCAACGCCATGCATTCTCCTTGAACAGTCACTCCACCTCTCCAAGAACAGCGACCGGCAGCATAGTCATCTTAGCTTTATTGAGTAACGCATCCCAATCTCTACTAAGATTCTTCTCAGTGAACGGCTGATTTTTCTGCAAAACTATGGATTGGTCAGTTAAAGAGAAATCACCACCTCGCCACCCCATTCTGTCCCCCCACAGGACACTAAGGGTTCTTAGAGATAAAGGGACGATGCATTCATGCCTGGAGAACTAATCACACCTGATTTCTCTGGGATCTAAAATAATGTCAAATTTGATTCACTTTATGTAATGAAAATCTTTTTTTTTTTTGCAAACCCCTTCAAAGCAATGCTGCCATCCATGAGAGATGTGTGTAAGGCCACCTCTGTATACTAAGAATGGTGCCCCAGCAGGCGGAAGGACGGCACACCTGCTGAGCGTGGATGCACGCCGCATGCTACATCTTTGAGACCACCGGTGGGTTCCGGGCATCAGACTCCAGCCACTTAATGAAGATCTGATTCACCTCGGCGGGCCTGGAGGAAAGGGAGAAGAAAAAAAAAGCCATTCACACTTGTCTGTGCCTACCCACCCAACTCGAAGGCAGAGGTGAGTGACATGAGTGGCTAAGCCAGGCCAAAGCCACCACAATGAAACCAGGAAAGCTTTTATGGAAGGTGAACAGGGGGCCCTGCTCTCCCTGACCCCAGGTGCCCCCAACCTCCTTACTTGTCCATCTGTGTCCAGTGCCCACAGTCCTCAATGTGTCCCCTTTTCAGGTGGGGAATCTGAAAGGAAACCCCATGCAGGAAGGTAAATGGAAGAATGCAGATGGGTGTGTCTCAGGTTAGAGCAACGGGCAATGGATGCCTTCTCTCTGCTCCCCGAAGGCCACCCTGCCCGAACCCTGCATGACTTAGGAAGGGAATGATGAGTGAACGAAACCCCACATCCGTGCAGGGGAAAGGAAGGCACAGTCACGGTTGCTGCTTGCAAGCGGGGGACAGTGATGTTACTGAAGTGCTTCAACCGCGGTCCCATCCACACGACAAGGTGTATCCTCCGCTGCCATCTTCCCTCTGAGCACCCTTGCCCGTGCCCTCTCCCGGGGGGCACCGATGACCCCTGTGCAGGGCCATTCCCTCACCCAGTCCTCCATGTGCTTGGACATCTGAGGAACGAGCACGAAGTCCTTCTCCGCCGTGACCATCAGGGCCGGAATCAGGATCTGGGGAGAGAACAGGAAACAGGAATGGCCGGCACTCCACAAGGGAAGCCCTCCCTTCCTCCCATGAAAGACCCCTGCCCACCGCCCTGCTGTGGTCCTGACATTGTATCTGCCAAACTTTGCACAACAGACTCGTGGTTATTACTGGAGATCTTTAAAATGACAGCTTCAGCAGTGCAGAGGCCAACATGGGTCTTGTGTGTGCAGACGTGTGTGAGTGAGAACGTGTGCAGAGCTGCGTGTAACTGGGAGAACAGAATCGACCGCACCAAGAGGGAAGACACCCTTGAATGAAGATCAAGATTCCTCTTCTCTGAATTAAACAGACGCTTAAAAGGGGCGGCCAAGGTTCCAGAGAGAATGGGGGCAGTCACAATAGTTATCAATGTGACATGAACAGCAGCAAAATGACTTCCCTTTTAACTGCAGGCAAATGAGTTGAACGCAGGGAGGCATGCACAGGAAGGCCAGGAAACCTCTGTGTTTTTTTATTTGTTCTCGCTCCACCATTACCCTAATTTCCAAGCACCTTTGACCCATCCCTGGTTCAGGAAGTTGCACTATTTTCATTTACACATGGACTGATGGCGTCTCTCCGTACCCCTCCCTCCTCCCATAACCAGGAGCCAGGAGAAGGTCAAAAATGATTTTGAGGCTACAATGAATCCTGAGGCTTCTATGAGGTTTGTAAACTCTAGAATGTTCCAAGCTAAAATGTGAACTGGGTAGGGGGTGGCAGGGGGGCGGGATGGGAGGAGGTGGGGGAGGAGAGAGGAAGATCCGACCGGAAACTGCGGAAGAGAGGCTGGGCGCAGTGGCTCAGGCCTGTCATCCCAGCACTTTGGAAGGCCGAGGTGGGTGGATCACCTGAGCTCAGGAGTTTGAGACCACCTTGCCCAACATGGTGAAACCCTGTCTCTACTGAAACACAGAAAATTAGCAGGTTGTGGTGGCGCACTCCTGTAATTCCAGCTGCTTGGGAGGCTGAGGCAGGAGAATCGCTTGAATCCAGGGGCAGAGGTTGCAGTGAGCCGAGATCACGCCACTGCACTCTAGCCTGGGCAACTGAGCAAGACTGTTTCTAGAAAAAAAGAAATTGCGGAAGAGGAGGGTTTCTGACCTTAGCACCATTGGGATTCACCTTCCCAGTGCCTTTGTCAATATTTTCCTCCACGCTTTGAGAGATTTTGTCTGTCCAACTGCAGTTTGGTCATTTTCGTCAGTCATATGATGACAATGACAAGGAACACTAATGGAGCTACTAGGTTCCCAGTACTGCTTGTAACAGGTCATGTGCCTTCACCCATTTCATCCTTACACAGCTCCATGAGGGAGGCACTGTTCTTGCCACTTCCATATTGCAGAAGAAGCAACAGTGGATCAGAGGGGTTAAGTACCTTTCCCAGGGTCACACAGGGATTAGACTCAGCCCATGTGCTTCCTAGCCTGCTCTTAACCACGATGTTATCTACTCTAGTGCCTCAAGACCTAACTTCGGGAGGTTAAGACCTGGTCTGTTTACACACCATGGTATCCCAGGGTCTCGCAGGAAGCCTGGCACGTAGCAGTGTGTTCACTTACAGAGTGAACCAACAAGGTAACCAGGGCTACTGAGTGAGCTGATGAAGGCCTGGTGACCTGCGCAATCACACTGGGGAATAATTTGATTTCCCTTAGATTTTTAAACATTTTGAATGTAAACTGGGGACCTCTATTATTCCTTCTGCAGACCCAGAGATTGGAAACCCATCTTCTGCTTGACAAATGAGGAAACTGAGACTCAGAGATTCACTTGTGCAAGGTGACTCAACCAGAGGCTGAAGTCACATCTCTGAGAGCGTCTAATGCTCCTCCGGGGCTGGGAGCTCCAGTATCCACGTCGCTTCTGGGAGGCGCCCTGGGCCATCTGCAGCCCTGGCTTGGGGTACCACCAGGGGACCTGGGGATTCCGGATGGATGCTGCAGTTACCTGGACACACCCCACCTCCATCCCCAACGTCACCCTCTACCATCCCAAGGGAAATACCAGCAAGAAAGATCCTAACGGGAAACCCCTGAAGGGAGTCACTTCCCAAACCCCAAAGGGAAAGGAGGTAGCCAGCAGGTCTGTCCATGACCAGCTGTGGCCCAGGTCATATCAGCTCAGGCCAATGGGAAGCCCCATGGGTGGGTTCTGGGGTGCAGAGGAGACCACACTGAACCTGGCACTCACCTTCCGCCCCAAGCTTTTGCAGGCCCATTTCCAGTTCCTTTCCATGTTTCGGTACCAGTTTAGAGGACCTCTGGGGAGAGATCAGAAAGTAAAAAGAGGGAGGCGGTAAGTAGACGGCTCTGCTACAGACACCAACAGAAACCTGCTCTGCACAGCCAGTCATCCTGGGAAGAGCGAAGCCTCCTGCAGGGGCAAGAGAATAGAGCCCAGGACCCACGCCGTGCTGTCGGGCGCAGTTGCCAGGCTCTAGCAGCGAGGCCTTGTGCAAGGACACAGGACTCCACTGAGTGAACTGGCAGCCTCTGGGTGGTCTTCTGGGACACATAGAAGCTGGCCCTACAGGACTGTCCAGGGAATGTCATCGTGTTGCCTTGGAGGCTGGGGAGGTTGCTGATGCTGGGGACCTTGGCTGAGCAGCCTCACCATCCAGAGGCCACTTGCCTGCCCCAGGGAGCCCACTTGAGAGGGACACAGGGAGGTGGAGCAAAGATGCCCCCTCCTAATATGACATCGGGAAGTAGGGCAAATGCACCAAAATGTATGCACCTTTTGAGTTTATGTGGATTTTTATGTCTTTCTGAAGAAAGAGCCCAGAGTTGCCATCTGATTCTCCGAGGAGCCATGACTGAAAAGTAGTTGAAAACCTCTGCCCTATGGGGGCTCCGCAAGCGTAAGGAAGAACAAGCTGAGTGTCCCAAACTAGAGCAGGCTGAGCACCAAAAAGTACTGAGCCTCCTGACACTGCAGGCATTCAAGCAGAGGCCGGCCTGGCACCCATGAGGGCTGTGGTGGAGGAGAACTGGGCCTCACCCTCCACCCTGAGGGCTGAAGATCACTGTCTGTCGATCGTCTGTCATCTGTGTCTGGGCCCTGCTCTTTACCTGAAACCAGACTTCTTGAACTGCTGCACATAGAACTGGATTTCCTCCTCGGTGACCATCCTG